TGTGCTGACGCACACGACTAGAGACATACAGAGACCAGGGTCCTTTATTTATAGCTCCCACAGATGTACCTCCCGTGTACACATGTATATTGAATAACTCCCCTGGCATAACTCAGGTACTGGACAATCAGCCCATTTATTTTATTTTAATTTTTTTAAAAAAAGATTTATTTATTATTTATTTATTTTATTTTATTCTGGGTACAGTCAGAAGCGCGGGAGGGTGAGAGAATTCACCAGAGCCAGAGCGGGGAGCAGAGCAGGCAGAAGGACCGAAGTACACTGCTGAGGGGCGCAGCGGGCGGCAGGAGAGGTCTGCGCGCCATGTGGGACCCTCGCCGGTGGCCGGGGATCGAACTGGCGCTGCAGAGGCTGCGGGCAGCCCTGCAGCCCAGCACTCAACCGCTGCGCCACCAGGGGAGGCCCTTTATTTTAATTTTTTTTGAGATTTATTTATACAAGCACTGGGTACAGTCAGAAGCACGGGAGGGTGAGGGAATTCACCAGAGCCAGAGTGGGGAGCAGAACAGGCAGACTGACGAAATACACTGCTGAGGGGATCAGCGGGCGCGGCAGGAGAGGTCTGTGCGCCATGTGGGACCCTCACCAGCGGCTGGGGATGAAACCGGCGCTGCAGAAGCTGCGGCGCTCAACCGGCTGCACCACTGGGAAGACCCACATTTGTTCTTTTAAACAGGTGATGTATTTTTTTAAAAGATTTATTTATTTTTATGCATACAAGAGCTGGGGTACAGGCCAGAGATGCGGGGGGTGAGAGGATCCACCAGAGACAGGCTGGGGAACAGAACAGTCAGATTGACTGAAATCCACTGCTGAGGGGAGCAGCGGGGAGATAGGCGAGGTCTGCTCCGCAGTGTTGGTTTCTCCCTGGTCAGCCGGGGATTAAACCTGTGCTGCAGAGGCTGTGGATTGCTTCATAGTGCGGTGCTTAATCCCTTGCGCCGCCAGGGAGGCCCATAAACAGGCGATCTATTTGAATGGTCCAGAATTCAATAAAGGAGAAAAGGAATACAGTGAAAAATTCCCCCTCACTGCCCATCCCCTCACGGTGAACCACCAGTCTCACTGCTTTTGTGAACCATCTTCCAAAGCCCTGCCATGTATGCAGCGCAAACACATGTGTTTTCCCTCTGATGTAACATGTGGAGCAGGCCACGGTTGCTGTCCCAGCCGTAGGTTGTCACGTGACACCTCCTCGTTCTTGTGCAGCCGAATTCCCTGTCATATGTCCGTGCTGCGCCTTACTCAGCCCTTCTTCTTGAACCTCTGGTCATCCGAAGCTATAGAGGCAGTAGCTGCGCTTGTCTCTCTGCTCTGTGAGGCCTGTCTTCTTTTGATCTCAGTGATTGTGTTTTCTTGTTTCCTTTAGATATATGTTGTGGTGCGTCTTTAGCAAAACTGCTCGGATGAGACGCATCTTCTCTCCTGTCCTGACGAGCTGCCAGATCACCTCGCCGAACTCTCTTAGGCACGTCCTTCCCGTGAGTAAGTCTGCAGGTCATGCAGTTTTCAGCAGACCTGGGTGGGATGTGAGTGCTGGCCACAGCGAGGTGCATGCCGGAGGGGTGCGGCGCCCGTGGCTGTAAGCGTCGCCGTCTGCACTCGCTGCTGGTATGGTTATTTGGTTACTTGCCTTCGTCCGTGGACTGTGGGCCCCATGAAGGCGAAAGAGCATTTCCTTCATTGGTCACTGTGTGGAGGTGGAGTTGATACTCGGTGCCTCTTTAGTGAATGAATAAGCATCTGCTGTTATGCCAGCCCAGAACGGGACACTGCTGGCTGGTGAGCCAGTCTGAGGGGAATATGTGGATAATCATCAAGCAGACAAACTATTACTACAATTACTGAAAGTGTAAATACAGTAAGAGAAGATTCATTCCTTTCTAACACATGGAACAGTTAAAATTGATACATCCTGAGATCACAAGGAAATTTTTTTTTAAAGATTTATTTATGCACACAAGAGCTGGGGTACAGGCCAGAGGCGTGGGGGGTGACAGGAGTCACCAGAGACAGAGTGGGGAGCAGAACAGGCAGACTGACTGAAATCCACTGCTGAGGGGAGCAGCGGGCAAGACAGGTGAGGTCTGCTGCGCCATGTGGGTTGCTCCTCGGCTGGCCAGGAATCGAACTGTTGCTGCAGAGGCTGCAGACACCTTCCTGGGCTGCGTCCTAACCCTTTGCACCATGAGGGAGGCCCCACAAAGGAAATTTAACAACTATCAAGCAAAAGTCATGTAATTTGGCCACTGTGCGGTTCAATTAGAAATCTATCCTGAAACGATCATCAGAGAACTTGCAAATGCGGTGCATTCCTTAATGCCACTGAGAATTTCCTTGCTTAGAGAAGCAAGGAAATGCAACCCTGAACAGCAGTGGAGTAAGAGGGATCCAATTTAAGTGGTACCCGGAGGGGACTGTATATTAACAGGATCTGTTAAAGATTAAGACAAATTAAAACGAAGTGAGTTAAATAGACACTAGGACAACAAAAACCCAAATAAAGAGCGGAAAGGAGATAATAAAGACAAACTGCTTAAACGGAGAAGAAAAAAATAGGATGAAAAAAACAAAAGTCACATTAGAAGATACAAAATGATCAAATCTTTAGCAGAACTGATAGGAAAAAAAAAAGCCCAGTAGATCTAATGATGTTAGTAAAAGAAATGGAATGTAATTACCAACAGAGGAGAGATCAAAAATCAAGTGCTGATAAATTTAAGCAAAACGGACAGTTTTCTTGGAAAATAGAAATGACCGAAGCCGCACTATAAGCCCAAAACTAAGTCCAAACTGTTCCTGCCAAAAAGCATGAGATTTGCATCGCTTCACAATGAGTCATAGCAAACTTGCAATAAGTAGTCTATATTTTATAAACCAGTATAAGCAACGAAAATGCAGCCCATATTATTTCGCGAGGCCCGCACAGCCCTGGACGGAAGGTGCCAGGGCGTGTGTCAGTGTGGAGCCGAGACCTGGCGCCCAGCTTGGCGGCTCCGCGGTGGGTCTGCAGCTTCCCCTCCAGAAGCTGCTCCGCTGCTGGAACCAGAGTAACCAATTAGAGAAGCAAAGTCAAAGCAGATCTTTATAGGAAAACCCGTAGAGTCGGGAGCCACGGGACACACAGGCAGTGCCACAGCCCCAGTCATGGTGTGTACATGGAGTGTACGGTGCTGTGGCTCCACCAAAACAGCAGTCGGGGGCCTCCCTGGGGGCGCGGGGGTTAAGCGCAGCACTATGAAGCTGTCGCAGCCACTGAGGCCTGAGTTCGATCCCTGTCCAGGGAGCTACCCACAAGGCGCAGCAGACCTCTCCTGTCTCCCCGCTGCTCCCCTCAGCAGTGTATTTCGTCAGTCTGCCTGTTCTGCTCCCCGCTCTGTCTCTGGTGAGTCCTCTCACCCACCACACCTCTGGCCTGCACCCCAGCTCTTGTATGCATTAATAAATAAAAATCTTGAAAAAACAACAAAACAGCAGTCAGAATTGCAGTGGGATGTTGCATCAAACCTGACAAGCTCATGTGAACGCCGCTTGAAGGCAGGTGGCTGACAGCAGCCGGGAGCACGGGGGACAGCTGGGCCGTCTCCTTTCAGAGAGCAACGCAGTGATTCATGTGTGGTGATGAAGAGAGGGCGATGGGACAGCGGGCAGGAGGAGGCTTAGGTCCCTGCCAGGGCATCCGCTAGGGTCAGCACCCAGTACCCGAGGGGCGCCCGGGACTTGGTGCCTGGAGGGATTTCTTTCTTTCTTCTTTTAAAGGTTTATTTATTTATGCATTTAAGAACTGGGGTGCAGGCCAGAGGTGCGGGCCAGGGGTCTTCTTAGAGCACAGAGGGCGGGTTGTGAGTCCCGCGGGGTACCGGGGCTCTCCCCCGGAGATGCGGCTGTGCCTTGAGCCCGTGAGTGGTGACGGCTGGGCCTGTTCTGCGGGCGCCGGCACGGTTGGCGCTTGCAGCGGATCGCGGCGTCTTATTTGCGGACCGGAAAGGTCGCCCTGGCCGCAGTGAGGAGACCCGAGGGGAGGCTGGTGTGGAAACGGGGGGGGGGGGGGGGGGGCGAAGGGGGTGCTGGTGGTGAGGACTGCGCGCGCCACGTGGCGGGTCCGGACGGGGCGCCAAGGGCGGGCCGGGGGCGTCAGGGCGTTGCCGGGAGTCCCTGGCCAGCCCCTCCGCGGCGGGGCGTCCACGGTGCGCAGCGGGGGGCCTGGAGCGCAGCCCGGGCCGCTTGCTCCCCGTGGCTCCCCTAGACTCCGTGGCGGCCGTTGTCCCAAAGGTGACCGCGCCACGTTTCCATCCGCATTTGGTGCTTGCGCGCCGAGGGGGAGGAGACGGTGCAGATTCGTGGACCCGGAACCCCACCATGAGCCGCACGTTCACCCCCTTTATGACGTCAGCGTTGCGTTTGGGGCGTCACGTCCTCTGCGCTCAGCGCACGACATTCTTTCCGGAACGAGCCGAGTCCTACGACGTTCCCGTTCTCGTCGGGGCGCGCGCCGCCCCTCGGGCCCCCAGACCCGGACTCCTCTCGGGGCCCGCGCCCTCTTTTCATAAAAGCCCGGGACGTCTGTGCGCCCCGACTGGCCTGGCCTGCTCCTCAGGCGTGCGCTGAGGTGGGGGGGGGTCTCGATAATTCAACGATTTTACGCTAAAAAAGAAACGCGAGTTTCGGGCAAGGCGATCGGGCAGCCTGGTTTGGAGCCGGACAGCCTCTCGCTGCCCTGCCCCTGCCCCGCTGGCCGCTCCCTGTGCCCCTCCCTGGAGAGACGCGCCGTCCTCGCGGCGTCGCCCGTGCCCACGCGCCCGCTTGCGCCCCGGCGCCCGCCGCTGGGCCTCCGACCCCGTCCCTCCTGCTCAGGCCTGTCCGGGCCCAGCCTGCCGCCCTGCGCTGCCGCCCGCGGCCTCCCCTGGCGTGGGCCCCGCGAGCGCCTCCGCCGTCGAGGGCGGGCGCGGCCGGTGCCGTGCGGCGGCCCGCGTGCCCGGTCACCCGCGGGTTTTGGGCCTCGACAGCGCTCGGCCCCGGCCCGCGCCCCCGGGCGGCCTTGTGTTGGGGGGCTGGTGGGACGCGCTCTGCGTCAGCCCCGTTTTCTGCCCGGGGTCGCACCCACCCCACCCGCCTTTCCGGACCCTCCTCGGGGCCCCTCGCGGGGCTCGGTTGACGTCAGCCTCGGCCCGCGCCAAGCCGTCGCCCCGGCAACGGCCGCCCGATTGGCGGGCGCGGCGGGCGGGCGGCCCGGGTTGGTGGGCGCGGGCCCCGCCTCTGCGGAGACCAGGCCAGGCGGCTGGCTGGCCGCGCAGACGCCGGGCGGGCGCCGCGGGAGGAGCGGGAGGAGCGGCCAGGCGGGCCGGCGTCGAGGTGAGCCCTGCCGCGGCGGCCCGCGCTGGCCCGGCCAGGCGGCCGGAGCCCGGCGGGGCGGCCGGGGTCGCGGAGGGGCGGCCGGAGCCTGGAGGGGCGGCTGGCGTCCCCGGAGGGGCGGCCGGGGTCTTGGAGGGGCGGCCGGGTCTTGGAGGGGCGGCCGGGGTCCCGGAGGGGCGGCCAGAGCTCGGAGGGGCGGCCGGGGTCCCGGAGGGGCGGCCGGGGTCCCGGAGGGGCAGTCGGGGTCCCGAAGGGGTGGCCGGGGTCCCGGAGGGGCGGCCGGAGCCTGGAGGGGCAGCCGGGGTCCCGGAGGGGCGGCCGGGGTCCCGGAGGGGCGGCCGGAGCCTGGAGGGGCGGCCGGGGTCCCGGAGGGGCTGCCGGGCCCTGGCGGGGTGTCCAGGATCCTTGAGGGGCTGCCGGGGCTCGGGGCTGTCGCGGACCCCGGCCCGTGGCGCGGGGGCCTGGGGCCGTCCCGAGCCCCGGGCTGCGACCGCGGCGGGTGCTTCGTGCCGGCGCGGCCGCGCTGCCGCAGCTGCACCCTCCGGCGCGGCGGGCCGGGGAAGGCGGGGGCCGGCCCGTCGAGGTGGCAGCGCGCTGGGGGCGCCCCGCGCCATCTTGCGCGGGAGGTGGGGGACGGGTGGGCGCGGTGGCCGCAGCCACGCACAGGCCGGGCGGGCGGGGTGCTGAGGACCGGGGTCGCGCCGCCTCCGAGGGGCCCGGCCGGGTGGCAGCGCCACGGGGGTGCGGGGGCCCCTCCGCGGCCGTGTCGGGGCGCAGCGCGGGGCCCTCGGCGCGGGCTGCCCTGGCGGCGGGGGGCGGGGCCGGCTTTGCCGCAGTGGCGGGGGGCGGGGCCGGGCCGGGGGCGGGCCGCGCTGCCGCAGCGGCGGGGCTTGCGGCGGGGCGGGGCCGGCATCGCCGGGGGCGGGGCCTAGAGTTAGGGGCGGGACTTGGGCGGGGCCAGGTCCTGCCCAGACCCTGGCGGGGCCGCAGCGGTGTGCCGGGGCGAACGCGGCCTTCTCGGACCCGGCCTACCCTAGCGCTGCTCTTGGCCGCGGGGCGCAGCTGGGGCTGAGTGCGCATGTGCCGTCTGGGCGGGGGCCCCCCCCCCGCGCAGTTGTGTGGGGCGGGGCCTGGTGGAGGGTGGGCGGGGCCTCCAGATGACCACTAGCCTGACTGCGCAGGCGCTGTTTGGAGTCACATCTTGAGTGACTGCCGGGGCGGGGACTCGTAACCCTGCCCACGTTCCTCTGGCTGCAGCGAAGCCCACTGCGCAGGCGCTGTCTTGAGGGCCCTATAGCTGAGGGGGCGGGGCGGGGCGGGGGCGGGGCCTTCCGAGCCCTGCCCACTCTGGCTTGCGTTTGTCGGCCACTAGGGGGCGGCTGAGGCCTGCTGCGCAGGCGCGCTATGCCTTGGTGGCGCTGCAGCGCCCCGCCCACCCCGCGGTCCAGGGGACTGAGCTGTCCTGCGCAGGCGTCCTGGCCGCTGTGGGGCGGGCTGGGGCCGCGTTGCCGGGAGACGGCGGGGGGGGGGGGGGGTGGTGTCGCAGCGACGCCATCTTGGGCCGTTGCGTGACGTGGCGGCGGGCGCCATGTCTCCTCGCCGGGGGGCCGTCGCCCAGCCTTGGTGTCCAGCCGCCCGGCGGCCCGGGCGTCCTCGTGGGGGCGGGCTGCGGTGTGAAGCGCTGCTGAGGCGTGAGGCGCCCGCGGCTCGCCCTAGCCCGTCGTCCCCGCGTCCGGGCCCTGCCGCCCTGCGCGGGAGCCGCTCAGGAGGGACGGGTCACCCCGGGGCCTGCGCCCGAGGCGGCGGCACGTCCTGCTGTTCGCGGCGGTGAGCGCCCCCGTGTGGTCGCCTCAGGCGGGCGGAACCGGGCTCGGGTGGCGCCGCGGCCGTGACCGCGGGCCGTGGCCCTCCAGGCGTGGCCAGGCCGTCACCGGCGTGTGGGAACTCGGGTTCTCGAGTAACTGAGTCCGCAGACCCGCGTCCGCACCGTTGCGGGGCTCGTCAAAAGGCCGTGGGACTCCGACACCGACTGGCGGCGAGTGTGGGTACTGCCGCGCCGGCCTGGGCTGGGCCTCTGGCGGGCCGGGACGGTCGGCAGGGTACCGGGGTGCCGCTCCTGCGGGGGGTTTGCTGCCTCACGGTCTGTTTCCTTCCCCAGCTCTGCCATCCTGACCGTGAGCCTTGGACGACCGCTGGGGCAGCCCCTGGGCGCTGGGTCCAGGTGAGCTCAGCTCCTCTCCCAGGGCACCGGCCTTGCAGTGAGCACAGGGGCCCCACCCTGACATTTGCTGCCCCCCACGTTCCCTCGCCCGCGAGAGCATAGGGCTCTGCTGACGGGTGGGGTGCTTGCCAGGGTTATCCTTGGTCTCTTGCCATCTTTTCTGTGTCCTTGTTCTTTTCCCAACACTCAGCTGCTTCTTCAGCCCTCCTCTCTCGCTGGGCAGCTAGGAGCCGGGGCGATTCAGCTATCAAACGAGCCCCAGAGTGGAGAGACCTGTTGTCTTGGGGCCCAGAGTCTATTGGGTAGTGAGAGATGTTACAGAAATAACGGCGTGAGTTGTGCTTTTGAAAGAGAGTGTTTGTTGTGGACGGTTCCCTTAATCTGAGAAAGGCCAGTAAGGCCACTCTGAGCAAGCCAGGGGCTTCAGGCTGTCCCCTGAAAGATGGTAGGCAGTAGATTCACCGGGAGAGTCGTCAAGCAGAGGGGACAGAAGCGTTCCCGAGGGTTCCAGAATGGAGCCAAAACAATAGTGCAGGGGAAAGTAGAGGCGTTTGGCGGAGGGGGCAGGTACGTTGGGGTGGCCTTGGGAAAGGCTTTGCAGCTGGTAGACACTCAGGCTTGAGCTGAACCACCCTGGGAAGCGGTTGGGGTGTCCACCTTGGGAGTCTCGTGATGTCTTCAGACATAACACAAAGGGGCCTTTCTGGTGGGGCAGGAATTTTAGATACTTTTCACTTTCTAAATTTTGGGGGAATCCCCTCGGGAATGGACAATGGTGGGAAATCTTGCTGCAGCATGGCGAGCGCTAAGCTTGTGGGTGGAGGTCAGCCGGGGTGATGGACATGAGCCAGGAGGATGAGCCCTGGCCGCTCATGCCCTGGCTGCTCATGCCCCTATGGGGTCGCACCAGTGGCCCTGAGTCCTTGCTGCACTTGCTGGGGCCGGGCCCGGCCAGCTGGGGCCTGGGGTGGACCAGCGCTGCAGAGGTGGCTCGTCTCTTAAGTGAGCTCTCACCGGAGGAGCCAGATGGGCAGCGGGAGAGACACAGCACCTGCGGCCAGCACTCAGCCCGTGGCCGCAAGGAGTCATGTGTCGGGGCGGCCGGTGCCGTGGCAAGGGCCTGGGCCCGGGCCGTGGACGGACTTGGCAGGCTTGTGCTTCCGGCTTTACTTCCAGAGATCAACAAAACCCGTGCAGCGGCTTCGCTCTGCTCTTGTTTTGAAGTGAACACCAGTCCGTCTGCAGTTTACCGTCTCCGGCAGGCACCGGCGTTTCCGCGGCTCGGCCTCTCCGTGCAGGTGCGCAGCACACGGGGTCCCCAGCGTCCTCCCAGGGAGGGCCTGCACGCTCAGGTGGGGGGCCGCACACTCAGGCTGTGTCCTGTGTCCCCAGACGGCGGTGGCAGTGACCTCCGTGGTGCAGACAACATGACCCGAAAGGCGGCGGGGTCCCCACCACCGCACCCTGCTCACAGTGAGTGGCCTGGCGGGTGCGCGCCTCCCTGGAGGGGCTCTGGGGCACCTGGAGCTGCCGTTGCTCAGCTCGCGAGAGCTGGTGGCCACGGAGTCCTGGGACGCCGCTTGTGGGGCGGGGGTCAGGCCCTATATGTGCCCAGATTGCGGGGGACACTCTCGCGGGCCTGGTCCTCTCTGTGGGGCTGGGGGGTGTCCTTGCACCTGCTTGGGTTGCCCAGGGAGGGGGTATCCGCGCTGGGCGTCTGACCTGATTCATGCTGGTCCCCTTGGGCGGGGTCCCCAGGTGGCAATGGTATGTGGGTGCTGAGCCTATGCCCACTCTCTCAGGGGACCGGGACCGGGACCGGGACTGGGGTGGCGAGCGAGAGCGAGGCCGGGATCGCAGGGCCAGAAGCAGAGACCGGACGCCGCAGGCCCGCTGGCCGCACACCGGGCACCCCAGAGGCCGTAAGTTGTGGGCGCTGACCTTCCCCCCCACACCCTGCTGGCTGATCAGCCTGTCCCAACTGCTACTCCTCTGTCCGCAGGACCCCCGCAGCGGGACCCGTCCCCCCCCGAGCTGGAGACACCGGCGCCGACCCCAGGCCGAGAGCACAGGCTCAGAGGCCCTGGGCCGCCCCCCCAGGTGTGTGCATCACATTCCAGGAAGGGCCGGGGCGGGTCCCCAGGTTCCCACCATGGGCGCAGAGCCCGCTGGCTGCCTGCAGGTGCCGCCCTCCAGAGTCGGGGCTCCCACTGCGTTGGGGGCTCTGGGGTGGGGGGTAGGGGCGGCCCTACCCGGGCACGTGGGCCCCACGGTTGCTCAAGATCCGGCTGGGTCTGTGAGTGCTCGAGGCCGACTACCCCGGTGCCTCCCTGTGAAGTGAGGCGCCTGTCCTTTCCGCGGGCCTGGGCCTGGCGTGACCACAGGCGAGTGTCGCAGAACCTTTTTCTCACTCTTGAGTTTCTAAACTTCTGCCACTTAGCGCTTTTACTTGAATTTCTAAAGATTTGGTTGACTGCCGCCCTGGGGCTGAGTAGATTTCAGCCGAAACTTCTGGCCACTGCTCTCCACCCCTGCCAGCAACCCGTGGGCCTCAGGCTGTGGCACCGTCCTGCACCCCCAGCCTGTCCCGACCCTGAAGCTCCTCTTTGAAGCTCCGCTGGCGTGGGTCATGCTTTTGCTCTCCCGCTGCCGGGCGTTGGTCTCTCATGAGCCAGACTTTCCCTTTGACCCATGGCCGCCCCTAGGCGGGCATGTGTTCCTGGGGTCCCTGGGGCGTTGCACCAGGGCTATGTGCCAGGCCCTGCTGAGGCTTGCTGGCTGGGGCCGCTGCATGGAGCCCGCCTTGCTGTTCCAGGATGCAGACGCTGTATCCTACCAGGATGTGGTGGCTCTAGCTGGGGACCGGAAGCCTCAGAATCCGATCCAGGACAACATGGAGAACTACCGGAAGCTGCTGTCACTGGGTGAGTGCCCTGTGCTCGCAGCCACCCCTGCCCCAGGGCCTGGACTTGGAGGGTCGAGCAGCAACGTAGGGTGGGGCCTGCCTTTGGGGAGCCCCGGCTCTGGGCGGACATTGAGTGGTGCAGGGAGGCTCACAGTGCTCTGGAGTAGCCGGTCCTCAAGTGCGCATTTCAGATGAGAACCCTGAGGCCCAGATTTGGGCTCTGCAGGAGTCCCCCAGCTCAGCTTGTAGAGGCAGTTTTGGGTTTTGCCGCAGCCTTGGGGGGGTACCCCCTGACCGCAGTGCTCCTGTGTGTGGGGAGCAGCGGAGCCGGTGGGAGCAGAGGGGTGCGAGTGGGCTGGAGAGGAGGTGGGACAGTGGGGCCTGAAGAGGGCCCTGAGCTCGGGAACTTGGGGGTCTTTGTGTGGCTCCTCAGCGAGGTCTGGAGAGCCGCTTGAGGCACTGACGGAGGCCATGGCTGGGGCGACGGGGCACAGAGGGTGGCTACGGGGGGCTGGGGGGCTGCTCCACTTGGCTCTGTGGCTGGGGATGGCGGCCCGTGTGGATGGCGAGGCTCTGTCCCCGATGGGCGTGTGACCCTCGCTGTCCCCATGATCAGGGGTTCAACTCGCCGAGAACGATGGCCACTCCCACCTGACACACGGCCACCCCTCGCGGTCGTGGAGAAGCGCCCACCCCAGCACCAGCCGAGGTGAGCTCCGCGCAGCCGAGTGCATGTGCGGCTCCGCCCAGGGCCCGGCCGGGTGTGTTGACCCTCGGGGTCTCGTTCCAGGTCTGAAAGCCGTGCCTGACGCCAAAAAGCCGGCCCACCGGCGGGGGATCTGTGAGGACGAGTCCTCACACGGGGTGATCATGGAAAAGTTCCTCAAGGACGTTTCCCGCAGTCCCAGGCCGGGCAGGGCGCGTGAGTGTAGCGGGCGGCCGCCAGGCCCCCCCAGGTGGCCGGACCAGGACCGCAGTGGCCTCCCGCCCCCTCCGCGGGAGCCCCTGACGCGGGCGCGGGGCCTGGGAGGCCATGCTCTTGCGGGGGGCTTTCCTTTCCACGCGAGCCTGGTCTCCAAAAGGAGAGCTCTGGAAAGAAAACGGCGCTACCACTTGGACGCGGATGGGCAGGGTGCCCCCCACGACCAGGGTGGCTGTCCGAGGAAGAGACCTGCGGCCTGCGGTGAGGTGAGGAAGTCCGCGAGCTCCAGCAGCCTGGGCGCCCCCGCCTCGGCCGGGCCACAGCCCCCCGACCCCTCAGCCCTGCCGCACGTGTGCGACGAGTGTGGCCGCTGCTTCCGCGTGGTCTCCGGGCTCGTGGAGCACCAGATTCTGCACACCAGGGAGAGCCTGGACGAGTACGGCGAGTCCTTCACCCACAGCGTGGCTGTCAGCCAGGCGCAGAAGAGGCGGGCGGCAGCGCGCAGCGAGCGGAAGGGGTGGGGGTGCGCCTCCGGGGAGAGCACGGGCCCGGCCGAGCGCCGCAGAGCCCACGTCCGGGAGCCCCCCGCCGAGCGCCAGGATGGGGAGCGCGAGGAGCCCTTCGTGCCGGGCCCGCCCTTCGGCGAGCTGCAGAGGGTGTTCGGGCCGGACAAGTTCTACGAGTGCCAGGTGTGCCGGGAGAGCTTCCTCCACAGCTCGGCGCTGGCTGACCACCAGAAGGCCCACGGCAAAGGCCCGCTCCCCGACGGCAGAGAGGAGGGTCGGGGGGACGCCTTCAGGCCCAGCCCCACCCTGAGCGAGCTGCAGAAGATGCACGGCAAAGACCGAGTGTACGCGTGCAAGGTGTGCGGGGAGGCCTTCCCGCATGGCTCGTCCCTGCGCGAGCACCGGCAGGCCCACGCCCGGGGGAAGCCGAGCGACGGCCAGGGCCAGCCGTACGAGGAGACTTTCGTCCCCGGCCAGAAAAGGCGTCAGAAGACTCACTCGAAAGAGAAGTTCTACGACTGTCAAGATGGGGGGGAGGCCTTTCGGCCCAGCCCAGACCCCGGCGAGCGTCCGAAGACGCCTTCCTGGAAGACCCTCTACGAAGGCAGGGGCTGGGGGCACGAGCTGCCCGGCGCCCCCAGTGGGGCCTGCGCCGACTCCCAGAGGAGCCACACCATCGCGCGGGCCCCGGAGGACGGGGAGGGCGAGAGGGCGTTCGTCACCAGCGCCCGCCCCGCCCCGGCGCAGACGGGTCCCGTGAACGGAAGCGCGCCCGAGAGGAAGCCCCGTGCGCTGCCCGGGCCCCCCGGCCTGCCCTCGGCTGACGGGCAGAGAAGCCACAGTGCGGGGGGGCCCAGGCGGCTGGACGTGCTCGATGAGCCCTGTGGCCAGAGCACGGCGGCCATGGCGCCCCCCAGCGGCTGCCCGGGAGAGAGCGGCCCTGGCGGGGAGGCGTGTGAGAGGCCCGTGGTCCTCCACTTGGCTGCTCTGCAGTGCCCCCAAAGTCGTGGTGGGGCTGAGCCCGTCCAAAAGGACGGCGAGAAGGCCGGGGCCTCCGCTGGTCCCCCAGGCCCGCGTGGTGAGCGGCAGGAGGCCCTCGGCGGGGAGAGTCCGTCCGCAGGCGTGGCGCGTGAGGCCCCCACCGAGCCCCAGGAGGGCCTCGCGGGAGAGGCTGGGGGGTCGGAGAAGGACCGCGCGTCACCGGCCCCCGACTCCCAGGTCCGCGGGCACCAGAAGGCTCGCGCCAAGAAGAAGAACATCGAGCAGGGCGGCCACGGGGCCCCCGAGGCTCAGCCCCTGCGTCCGGGCGCGCCTCGCACATCTCGGCCCCGGGAGCGGGCCCACGAGTGCCGGGCGTGCGGGGCGTCCTTCGCGCTCGGGGCTGAGCTCGCCGCGCACCACAAGACCCACGGCCCGAAGCCTGCGGGTGGTGGGAGCGGCCTGGCGGTCCCTCGCGGTGTGGCCCCCGCCCTCCCGCAGACGAGCTACGCCCTGGAGCCGGAGCTGAGGGCTGGCCCCGCAGAGCCCGCCCCGCAGCCGGCCGCCGGCGAGTGCAGGGAGTGCGGGGCGCGCTTCGCCAGCCTCGAGGGCCTGCGCGCGCACCAGAAGGTCTACGCGGGGGAGAAGATCCACGCGAGGCGGCTGTTTGGAAACCCTGGCGTCCAGGGGGCCGGCCGAGCGGGCCCTCCGCGGGAAGAGCCTCCGCGGGGGGAGCCGGGCCAGCAGGCGGGGGCCGGGCAGGAGGGCGGGGAGGACGGCGAGGGCGAGGACGACGAGGACGGCGACTCCATCTACGGCTGCGGGGACTGCGGCCTGGGCTTCGCCGACCGGGCGGACCTGAGGGACCACCGGAAGGTGCACAGCAGGGAGTACCCAGTGGGGGCCCGCGAGCCTGCGCGCACTGAGCCCCGCGGGCCCCGCGTCAGCGAGTACCAGCGCGACCACGCCGGGGAGCAGCTGTACGAGTGCCCGGCCTGCGGCGAGTCCTTCCTGCACAGCTCCTTTCTCTTCGAGCACCAGAAGGTCCACGAGCAGGACCCCTTCTACGGCTTCAGGCGGCTGGATGAGCCTTTCCTGCAGCCCCTGATCCTGCAGCCACGGCGGCCTCGCGCCCCCCGAAGGGCCCCCCGCGCCGGCACATCCCTGGAGTGCCAGGTGTGCGGCCAGGACTTCGTCCACGCCTCGCTGCTGATGGAGCACATGCGGGTCCACCCCGGGGCCAGCTTGCCAGACGCAGGGCAGCCGAGCGAGGACGCCGCCGGCCCGGGCCTGGCCCTCACCGAGCTGCAGAGGAGCCAGACCGAGGAGAAGCAGCACGAGTGCAAGATGTGCGGGGAGGCGTTCCTCAGCCGGGCGGCCCTGCGGGAGCACACGAAGACCCACAAACGGGGGGAGCCCTACGAGTACGGGGCCTCCTTTGTCCACACCTCGTTCCTCACAGAGCCCCCCAGAAGGGGCCTGCCCTTCTACGAGTGCAAGGACTGCGGGGAGTCCTTCATCCACAACACCGTCCTCACCAAGCACCAGAAGCTGCACCTCGAGGAGGAAGCGGCCACCGCGGCTCAGGAGGCCGAAGCCAACGTCCTCGTCCCCCGAGAAGTGCTGCGGATCCGGGGGTCCGGTGTCCAGGCCGCGCAGCCCGAGGTGGAGGCTGCGGAGCCCGACGGGGAGGCCGGAGGGCCCGACGGGGAGGCTGCGGAGCCCGACAGGGAGGCGGAGCAGCCCCACACCGGGGACGCTGACGAGCCTGACGGCGCTGGGATCGAAGACCCGGAGGAGAGCGCCGAGGAGCCCGAGGGGGACGCGGATGAGCCGGACGGCGCCGAGTTCCACGACCCGGAAGAAGCAGGGGACCCCGAGGTGGTGCCGGGGGGCGAGCCATGCCAGGGCCGCGGGGAGCCAGGGGAGACCGCCCCGCCCCAGGCTGCCTGGGGGCCGCCTCTCACAGCCCAGGTGGGGGTGGTCGTGTTGGAGCCCCGCAAGGTCTCTGGGGAGGGCTCGCGCTCCTCTGCCGGCGCCGGGGACAGAGATGGGGCCGGCAGCGGTGGCCGCTTTAGGTGTGACGTCTGCGGGCAGCTCTTCTGTGACCGCCTGGACCTCGCAAGGCACCAGGACGCCCACACCGGATGAGGACGCAGGCGGCCCCGCCGCGTCCCAGCTCCGCAGCGCCGGAGCAGCTTGCTTGGCTCGTGCGCACCCACGGGGCGCCGGACAGCGCGGCTGGACCCGCCGCAGGCCCAGGCGCCTCGTTTCAGCCTTACCCCCCCCACCCCGCAGCCCGAGCGCCTCTGCCAGGAGTCCTGGGGAGTCCGGCGCTCCGGACTGCGCCCCCCCGCCAGCTGTAAATAGCAGCCCCGTGGGCGCGGCTCCGCGTGTGCGAGACCAGCACTGCAGCGCCGTGGGCGTCTGCGCTTATTTTTTTTTCCCCTTTTTGGAGGAGGAAGAGAGCAACAAATCAGCACCTGTCTGTGCACGTCGTGTCCGCGGGAGGCCGCGTTTCGTGTGTCACCGTCCTCATGCTTGTGTGTGACGGGCCCGGCCGGCGTGAGAAGCATCTGCGCCGCCTCAGCTCGCGTCCACGCCGGCCTCGGCCTCGTGCCCAGCCGCCTGCGCCGCGCCCCCCGCCTGCTGTGACCCAACCCCGCGGTTGCCGCCTCGTCGCTTGCAGTGATTTTACTCAGAAATAGGAGGTCTTGTTATTTTTTTATCCACCCCGATGTGTGCTCAGTAGCGACTTCCCGAGAGCCCAGGCCTCCCCGTCAGTCTCACGCCTTTGCCTTCGGAGCGTCGCCACCGGCAAAGCTCACAGCAGTGCCTGCCGCGGCCGCGGGGCCCTGCTGCGCGCGAGGGTGCAGGCTGGCGGCCCCGCGTGCGCTTCCTGCCTTAAGTGGCGCGTCCCGCTCCCTGGTGAGTGCCGGGGCGCGGCCTGCGCCCCAGAGCTGTGTCCTCGGAGCTTCCTGTCCCCCCTCGCCGCCCCGCCCGCCCGCTGCCCCATGTACGGCTTCTGTTTACAAAACCTATTTAGAAAAAAAAAAAAAATTCTTTACAGTCAACCCAAGCTTCACACGGACTCAGGTTCCCGGCGGCCTTAACTCGTCTCGTCTGCGTGTGTCCCCGCCCGAGCGCGCCCCTGGGCCTGTGCCGTCCCCGCCGGCCTCGCAGCCAGAGGCCCTTCGTGCTGTCCCGTCGCCCCCCGCGCCCCCCGCATCGTGACAAGACACTGCTTGTCTTTGAGTTGGCTGGAAAAAAAAATTTAAAAATTAAAAAAAACCTTAAAAAAGCAGATCTGTAGGTGGAGAGAGGCGGCCAGCGCAGGTGGCGCGGCAGCGTGAGCGCCCGCCCAGGCGGGTCTGTCTCCTGGAGCCAGCGCTCCGGCCCCGGGGGGCGTCTGGCAGGGAGGGCCACGTCGGGCCGCCGCGAGCGGCAGAAATGAGTTAAGCCAAAGAAGGGAGCCCCGGCGTGCGCACCGGAGGGCAAGGGCCCAGCTGGGGGTGCCAGAGCGCGGCTGCGGGCTGGTCGGTGGAGTGGAGCAGGAGGCCTGTCCCGGAGGAGGCGCGGCCTGTTGCTGGCCAGTGTAGGTCCGGGCCAGCTGCACAGAAAGGCCGGAGGTTGGAAGGGACGCCCAGGAAGTCGAGGAGGGCGCGGGCGGAGGGCCTGGGCCGGGCCGGTGTGGCCACTGTCAGGGCAACGGGTTCACGGCGTTGGGCCGGGTTCGCGGCTTCAGGCCCGGTTCATCGGTCGGACCTTCCAGGAAGCAGCTGGCCAAGGGTCAGGCTGTCCTTTCCAACCTCGTTCTAGTGGAGAACTCGGACGCTGGCTGCCCAGCGGCGGGGGAGGGCGCGGTGAGCCTCCCTGCGGGCTTGGTGCAGCCGCGCGCGGTGATGATCACGGAGAGTCATAGATTTATGGAGAGGAAGTGGAGGAAGCAGGACGCAGAATTATATTTATACAATTATAGCGCTTAAACAATGTGTGCTTCTAGTCAAAAGCCGTTGTGTTGCTGTTGTAGGCTTGTAGTCGAGCATTATTTTCCTAAATTCCGAGAACGTTCTTTATGATCGTGTGAGTAAAGTTTATAATCCCGTTTCCATCGTGAGCATAATCTGTCCTGGTCATCAGATATGTGGAAAATACAGAAAACTGGAGGAGAAAAATCCCACACCCCACCGTCCACAGAAGAGGTCCTCTTCGGCGCGCTGGTGCCCCTGCTTCTGTGCACAGCTTCACCGTCGTACCTGTCCCGTGTGCACGCGGAAGCGCGTCACCATGCCTTTGTGGGGTACGCTTCAGTGGTTCCCCCTTGTTTCCCCGCTGTCCCTTATCATCGTGTTCTGATAACAGAGTTGACTATGTTCCCATCGCATTCGTAATACACGCCCAGAGGGGAAATTGGGAGGTGGCAGTAAATGAGAAAACGCGCGCGTATCCCCAGCCCCCGGCCTGTGCTGCGGGCTCGTCGGGCTCCTCCACCTGGGGTCGCGCAGAAGCGTGTGGCTGTGACGGCGCCGGCGCGCGCGGAACGTCCGCAGCGGGAAACGCGGGGCATCCTTCGTAGCGTCGTCATGTGGGCCTAGGGTTAAGCATTCCGTCTCAAATCTCTTGATCCTGGCGTTCGGTATTCACCCTTATACATGTATTTTCGCGTCGCGAATGAACATATACTCGTAGCAAGCTGCAGCGTGAGCAGAGCAGACGAGGAGTCACGCGTGTTCCCAGCCCCGGCTGCGGCGAGGCCGTCTGGGAGCAGGCCCGTGACTGTCAGCACGTCCGAGACGCGCGCAGACGCACAGATGGGGAGGGACACGCACGCGGCCGTGGGCACAGCCGATGGGCTCGTCTCGGACGGCCCCTGACCTGCCCTCGCTGCGGACATTTCCACCGTCAACAAAGCGCGTGTTCGTTACAGAGTTTGAAGTCGCGGAAGTGTAGGAGAGAGAACCACCCGTTTCACCATCCATGGGCTGGGACTGACATCTTGATGTTTCCCTCATCTTGTTTCTGTGCACAGGTTTTTGGTTTGTCAATATGATGTAGTCGTTCTATCTATCTATCTGTAATAGCGTCGAGATAAAAATAAAGTTTAAAAAAATAAGATAAGCCTTTAGTCTCTCTTGTCCATTTTAAGCGTTCGGGGTTGTTTAATAGGGTTTTTATTGAAGTTTATAGCCCTTGAGTTCCACCCCCGGCCAGGGAGCCGACCTCTCCTGTCCACCCGCCCCCCCCCCCCAGCCCTCAGCAGTGGATTTCACTCGATCCACCTGTTCTGCTCCCCACTCCACTTCTGGTGAGTCCTCTCAGCCCCACCCCACACCTCTGGCCTATACCCCAGTTTTTCGTCCCCCCCCCCCAAGTAAGTTTATAAGTCCCCCAAATTTAGTGCTTCACTGGACCTTTACATTTGTTTGCAAATCTTATTCCATCTTTAGGTTATGCATATTTCAGCAATTCTAAAGGGCCTTTTACTACATGATTTTTTGGCCACAAAACATTTTAGTAGTGTTGAACCATGAGTATATTTCACTTGACTAGGCATTTACAATTTTAATCTCACTTAAATGTGACATTCAAATGGTCACAGAAAGAATGATCTTAGCGTGTCCATCTCTAAGTCTTCCCAAAGGTCAAGCCAAAGACGGCCATGTCCCTCAGTTTAACCTGGTCGCACCACCACCAGCATCCCACCCAGTTCGGCAGATCATCATCCTATAAACTGGGAGGTGATTTTAAAGCATGCTCATAATTCCATCATGACCAGTTTGTGACTGTCGCCGTCTGCTGCCCCTGGGGTGGTGCCATTCCCGACTTGGGATTGTTCTGCCCCTACCCCAGCTCAGGGAGTGGGGTCAGACATTTGACACGCTTGCAGTGACCTGTGCGTTACCTGATTGGACTCTGCCTGCACCGCGTGACGGTGCTTTACATCCCAACTATGGCGTCTAACAGGGTGGCAGAGTCCTGGACTCTTTGGTACTCTTCGACCTTCACACTGAAAGGGCAGCCCTTTGACACTGCATGTGGTCATTGCTCGTGGTGTCCAGCTCTGGTCCCAGCTTCAGCGGTCGGAGCACATCCGCCTAGGCCAGCCTGTTTGCTCTCACTCACTGCCCAGAAAATGTCTCACAGGAAGAGGTAGAGGAAGGAAAAACGAAGAGCGGCCATTTGGAGTTGCCTGGGCAGCTCTTGACTTTGGGGTTCCTCCCACTCACCTCTCATTTGTAGAGTTGGTTAAGTCCCTACCGTTACGTTTAGTCCTTAAAATTTGACCCCTCCCTGGCCTCGGCTCATGGGTTCCCAGTGTCCAGTCAGACTCAGGTTCAAGTCATGTTTGTTGGGGCTGGTGTGCTCACGAGCGGAAGTCTGGAATAAGGCTCCATGACCAGAAAGCTGCCTGATTCTTGGGGCCTCACCCAACCCAGTGCCTCCTGGCTCCTGCTTGAACTGCTGGCCCTTGAGTCCCTTAACAACTGCATCTTCGGGGCCTCCCTGGTGGCGCAAAGGGTTAAGTATCGCACTATGAAGCAGTCCGCAGCCTCTGCCCCACGAGTTCCATCCCCAGCTGGGGAGCTGCCCACAGGGTGCAGCAGAACTCTCCTGTCTCCCCGCTGCTCCCCTCAGCAGTGTATTTCAGTCAGTCTGCATGTTCTGCTCCCCACTCTATCTGGTGAATCCTTTCACTCCCCCCCCCCAACATCTCTGGCCTGTATCCCAGTTCTTATATGCATAAATAAATGAATCTTTAAAAAAAAACCCAACAACCGCATCTTCAACACCCCCCCCCCCCCGCCACCACCGCCCCGGCCAACCCCTTTTCACCCAAACTAGCCCTGTTGGTATAGTTGCTCCTGTTTCCACCAGCACAGCTCTTCCCTGTTCCGGGGCCACTCTTGTGGGAATGCCTGTGTTCCACCCCTTCCTGGAACCCAAATTGAACCTGGTGCCAGTCAGGCTGCCCAGGCAGGACACACAAATCATTCCAATGGGATGGCTGCTTGCTATTCCAGAATTGGGAATTTTGGGGCATTTTTTCTGTAAACACAAAAATGCAACATGGAGGAGAGTGAAAATGTGAATGATTAGAGCGAGTTTGAGATTATATTGTTACTGCAGCTCCCTCCCTCCACTTGCACTACTGCAGCTACCCTGGCACTCTCCAGCAGCAAGCCCCTGCAGTTCCCACCACCCCAGCTGTGACCCTGTCAGCAAGACCTGGGCTTCCAACTGGCACCCATTCTTGTGCATCAGCTGTTTTGGACAGTGCCAAGGTTTTAGCTTGCTGCCCAGCATCCAAAGCAACATGCCAGTTGACACCTCACAACTTTCATTTCAAACAAGGCATCAAGACTTGGAACATTCGCTGTTTAGCCTAACACACAGAAATAAACTAGAGTTAAGTCAAATGCACAGACAGAGAAATATACCCTAAACGACAGGACAACACAAAACCTTGGGGGGGAAACCAGTAATGCAACAGAAACAGGTGAACTACCTGACCAGTATTTCACAGCAAAAGTCCTAAAGTTGCTCATTAAACTTGGGAGAATGGATGTACAAAACAAAAACAACAAAGAAAATATGAGAAAGTTCCAAACAGAAACATAGAACTGAGGAATACATTGCCTACATACACTAAAAAAAATACAGTAAAGAGGGCTGAACAGCAGACTAGACGAAGCTACAGATAGAATCCATGAACTGGAAGACAGGATATTGGAAAGCCTCCAAGCAAGCCAGCAAAAATGAAAAAGAATTATTTCACAAGAAGATAGCTTAGCAGATGTATATGATTTGGAAGGGAGAAAGGGGGTAGCAGAGATCTTATTTAAAAAAGAGTGAGGGTCTCCCCTGGTGGTGCAGTGGTTGAGCGCTGGGTTGCGAAGCTGCCTGCAGCCTCTGCAGCGCCGGTTCGATCCCCGGCTGCCGGCGAGGGTCCCACATGGTGCGCAGACCTCTCCTGCTGCCCGCTGCTCCCCTCAGCAGTGTATTTCGTCAGTCTGCCTGCTCTGTTCCCCGCTGTGGCTCTGGTGAATTCTCTCACCCTCCTGTGCTGCTGACTGTACCCAGTGCTTGTATAAATAAATATATAAATAAATCTTAAAAAAAAAAAAAAAAAGTGACTGAAATTTTTCCCTAATCTGGGGAAAGAAGCAGACATCCAGATCCAGCAAACCCAAAAACTACTAAATAGGATGACCAAAGAAACCCACACCAAGACATATTAAAGTGGCCAAAATGAGTGATCAGGAATCTTAAAAGCTAGAGAAAAGATGTGGCCTACAAGAGAACTGCTGTGACACTCCAAGCGGAATTCTCAGCAGAAACCTTGCAGGCCAGAGGGAATGGATCATATAGCCAAGGTGCTGAAAGAAAAGACTTCTGATCAATACTGTACCCAGCAAGGTCACTACTCAGAAGTGATCAAAGTTTTGTCAGAAACAACCAAAAGTTGAAATTATCACCCCCAAACTAGCATTGAAAGAAATAATGAAAGGGACTTCTATAAGATGAAAATAAACCTAGATTAGAAACAAGAAAAATGCTTGAGGGAAAATCTTGCCCAAAAAAAGGTAAATATATTGTAAAAGTTGACAAATAGTCATGTGAAAAGCTGACATGATTAAAACGCAAAAGATGTGCTACAAAAAAAAAAAATCAGAATAGTCAGTTAAGTGAGATCACACACACCCCATGGAATACTACTCAGTGCTCCCAAATGATGAAATCTGCTAATTGTCACAACATGGATGGACCTTAAGGGGATTCTGCTCAGTGAAATGTCAGAAAGTAAAGATGAACACCGAATTTCATTCATGTGGAATGTTAAATAACAAAACAAAGGGACAAGCAAAACAAAAACAACTCTTAGATGCTGAGAACAGTATGGTGGCTACCAAGGGAAGGGGAGGAGGGGTGGGTGGAAGTGGTAGAGGGTGTCAGTAGGTTGAGGGTGGCTGGTTTCTAAACATTTGGTGGTGGTCGTGCTGTGATTGGTACATTTGTTGATGTCTGAAGCTGTATTCTTGAAACAAATGGTGTGTAAACCATTGTTACCTCAATAAAAATGGTGTTTGTCCGTGTGTGTGTGTGTGTGTGTGTGTGTGTGAGTGTGTGAATATCAATACTCTTTAGCAACCAATAGGTCAAAAGAGAAACCAAAAGAAAAGAAAATGTATGTGGAGAGAAATGAAAAGGGGAACACAGTCTACCTAAACTTATGGGATGCAACAAAAACAGTTTTAAGAGGGAAGTTTCTAGAATGATGTCAACATCATAGCAGCATACGGGGCTTGCTTTATTTCTCTCCTTGAATCTCTAGTTAGCAGACAACTTATAGAACAAGATGTGTCTGTTCATGACTGAAGGTGGGTGAGTGATGGAGATGCAGATTGCTGGGCTGCCAATTTTACCTGAAGCCCTGGCAGAGAGAGGAAAGATCTACCACATAGGTCCTCACTCTTGCCCCAGGTGATCCCCAAGTTTATGAAGGTGAGGAGCATCACACAGGCAGGGACCCAGCAAGGAGGATGCATATCACTGCAGCTCCCTCTTCTCCCCACCCTGATGCATTGGTGCCAGTGTCCCCAGAGAGTAGCACAGCAGAGATTAAAGGCCTGGAAGAGGGGCAGTAGTGGGTGTGCAAGTGAGCCAGGCCTCCCCTGCCCACCCACATCAGGGGTTAACACTTCCCCTCCCCACTATCAACGCCCACCCCCCTCCCCAATCACCACGCCCAGGCTGCTAGGAGTGATGTGTGGACAGGAGCAAGACAGAGACCAAAAGCTGAAGGTCTAGTGCCACCTACTGGGAAAAGCCAGTGTCTAATTACAGAACTATTGAATTGGAATTAAAACAAAACATATAACAAAAAATTAAAAGGCGTTAGGCTCACCAAATCACAGAAGGATTACCATCCAGAAACACAAAAGTTCAACATGACGTGCGCTCACAAAGGCTGACAATTCCCCAGAGTCCAAACTTAAACACACGAAGGACTGTGATGTAATGGATAGAGAATTCAAAGTAGTCAGGAAGAAACTCAGAGACACTCAAAAACTCAAAGAAAATTCAATGACCTCAGAATAAAATCAATGAGCAGGAGTGCTTTACCACAGACATCAAAA